CATTTGCGTCTTCTTTGAGCGATTACTATCAATCGCCGCCGTACCTGCTGTGTCCGCCCGATTCGCCGCCGGATTCACTGGCTCCGTCACCGCGCTCTCCGCACTCTGCCTGTTCTTCGCCGCCGCCAACTTCTTCTACTCCTCCGTCCCACTTCACTACGACATGGCTCAGCGCATTGTCTCCGCCGTAACTGACTGGTCCTCGGTGAAGCTAGCCCTCGACCTCGGCTGCTGCGGACGCGGCATCCTCCTCAACGCCGTCGCCACGCAGCTCAAAAAGGAAGGAAGTTCGGGTCGGGTCGTGGGGCTGGACGGATCCAAGCGGGAGACACTGTCCACGTTGCATAACGCGAAGATGGAAGGAGTGGGAGAGTACGTCACGTGCAGGGAGGGTGACGCGAAGAGGCTGCCGTTCCCGGATGATTACTTCGACGTGGTGGTGTCAGGGGTGTTCGTGCACACGGTGGGGAGGGAGTACGGCCCGCACACGGCGGAGGCTTCGGCGGAGAGGATGCGGGCGATGGGGAGGTGGTGAGGGTGCTGAAGCCCGGCGGAATCGGGGTGGTGTGGGACCTAGTGCACGTGCCGGAGTATGTGCGGAGGCTACAAGAGATCAAGATGGAGGATATACGAGTGTCGGAGCGCGTGACAGCCTTCATGGTGAGCAGCCACATCGTTTCCTTCCGGAAGCCGAGTCAGCACGTGATGGGGCCCGCAGAGGTCCGACTCGACTGGAGATCATGCTGACGCGTCACCACCTATGCTCTTAGAGAGAGTATTAATGACTACAAATCATCAAACTGACTGGGGAGGCGAAGTCGAACCAGATATTTATACATATAAACATATATGTGCTTGAGATCGATTCACAGCATATATAACCGTGAGAGGGCACGCAGCCTTATAGTGATGTTACGTGGAAGAAGAAAAGCTGCTGCAGTATTTATGGTTATAAGCTTGTTAACCTGAGAATGGAAGATGGCGAGTTTTTGTATAGAACTGAAATTATCTGTAATACCCATATCTTTAACGTTTAAAGCTGGAAGCCGATATGGTGTGAATCATTATAGTGGCTCAGTGACACCTTTTTTACTTTTTCTTTTGGTTTACTGGAAACTTTCGTGTAAATGTAAATGAAGTTCTTGATTGGATTGCGAGCACCCATGGATACGAGCACGTCACCGTGCTGTAATTTCACTTTCTTGACTGCAATGTGGTGTGTCCCATGTAAGGTTGGAGCAGAACAAGTTAGAAGCTAGAAATAGTGATGAATAATAGACGATGGGAAAATGAGTTGATGCCTTTTTCCAATTCAATGCAAATATATGTGAACATTGTGAATTGACAAGACAGATAGAACTTTCGGCAACATGATGAAGATTCCCGATCTTACATAGTAGATTAGGAACACTGAAAGTTCACCAATGGTCCGAGTGATTTTTGGTGACAGATTAGAGCACCCATCAGGATGGACGGGCAGAAATGTCATTGTGATGAAGGGTAGTTTCAACGCGACGAGGAAGAGAAAGGAGGGAAAGGTACGTGGTTTGTTCTGGTTGGCATTATAACGAGGTACGTAGAATGTAGAGGCAGGAATGGGGGAGCTTTCCCAGAAGAACATGTGCGTCTCGCATGTGGCCTCTGCAACTCTTAAATGAACCATGTGTTGAAAAATGAGTCCCATTAATTACCACTCATTTTAGAATTAGCTCAGGATCACATCCATGCTCCTAATTATTAACAAGTAAAACCACCTCAGCATCTCTATAATGTGTATATGCTTGCATACATACAGATACTTAACTAATCTGGAAAACTCAAATAAAGTTGGGATGAAGACTCTGCAGCGACTAAAAAATTGTGGGAGATGCGTCGCTTTTTTGAGATCGAAGGTTTATCTGGTGATGATATATAATTAACTATGGGCTCTATTTTTTTTTTTTTTTTTTGCAATCTAGAGTCTGCATATATTTTTCTCTACATGTGTCGTGAGGGGCATCTATCTTCTTCGTCCTTTTTAAAATAATCCGTGAGAGTGACAAATGGATAAGCTGCAACTATACAATCGAGGAGATGGTTTTCTATAATAATGAAAGCTAATGCTAAAGACAAAACACAGCTCACTAGAAACTCTGTCCTCATTATATTTATTTGATGCTACATTGCGTTTTAAAATCATTGACTCTTTTTTGAGATTTTTTTTTTTCGGGGGGAGGACGAAAGACTGCAGTTAAACCGCGCCAAAGCAAACAAAATATGAACTGGGCAGATGGACCTCAAAAGAGTTGCTAAGAAATCTAATTATGGCATCCTTAATGAGATAAACAGTGAATGCACTTATTTGTCTCCTTTAAGATGAGATAAATAGTGAATGCACTTATTTGTCTCCTTTACGATACTAGTATGATCTAAAATCACAAACTCAGCAGATGAAAACCAAGCTTTTATAGAAACCCCTCACCCAATTTTCGTTGCGATCTTTAAAGAAGGCATCCATAACTTGCGCGTCCTTTTTAATTAATGAAGAAATGTACGCCCTGCTTGGATGAGTAGAAAAATTGGGGGGAAAGAAAATGAAGAGAAGAGAAAACTGAAAGAAAGAGAAGAGAAAACAAGGAAGAAAGAAAATGTATAAATATCAGAATGACTAAAATGCTCTTATTATAATTAGTTAGCAAGGAAACTAAATGATTTAGTAAAAAAATTATTTTTCTATGTAAAAATAAAGAGGGAATAATTTTGAACTTAATTAAAATAAAAGAAAATAAATAACCTATATGTTATCTAATATTTTATTGCTTTTGATGCATAAAGAGTTATAGTTCCACGGAGAACCGTTGCATGGTCGCTGTTTGGGAGTTTTTTTTCCTCTTTATTTTTCTTTCATCCCTTTCTCTTGTGCCATTTTTGGTTTTCCTCTTCCAAAACCGTAAAATGCCTTCCGATCGAAAAAAGGCCTTTTCCAACAGACAACGGCCATCAGGCCAGAAGAACACTTCATTGATTCGTTGATGGCTTCTTCTCTCCTTTCGCGCTTCTCCCTCTCCTACACCCTTTACTTTGTTTCTGCAAAACCAAAACCCGTTTCCATTGTCCTCCATAGCCGCACACTCCTCCCGCGCACTAGAGCACTGCAGCGATGAGACTGATGTGAGCTTGGCGGGAGAGGGTAGTGCGGGGAATGAGCCGAAACGGTGAAAATCTTCTATTTGTGGAAGAGAAATTTTGAGAGGAAAATGAGGTATAGGGCCCATTATATTTTTTTTCTCTACTTCTCTTTTCTCTCTTATTTTCTTTCCCATTAAGCAAGGAAAAATTTCATTCCTCTCATATTTTCCACTCCACTTTTTCCTCCTCTCCTCTTTTCACTCAATCCAAGCAGAGCAGTAGTCTAACTCAACTGATTTGAGGTTGGTGATCATTTAGTTCGTATCCATTTAATTTATGGCCTATCATAACTTTTAGCATGCAGTGGAACCCAGGTCTATATTTCAAGTTTCCACAAAATCTCCACAATTTAAATTGGAAAAAATTGGCTAACTAATGCAAATCCATGACCTCTATAAAATTAAACATTCGTATGTAATAAAACTGGAAGGGGAAAAAAAAAAAACAAAGACTCTATCCCCCCCTCCCACCCCCTTCTCTCTCTCTAGACACACATGTTGATGTCCCGCTCGCCCACCCACACATGCACATGTTTGTATTTGGGGCCAACGTCGTACATTACCATCAGTAGGCTGGTCCTTCTTGGGCCTTAGCCCATTAAAGGTTACATGTCCGAAGCATGATCCTTTTAAGACAAAAGGCTGCCTGCCATAAGGTTGACGCCTTGACGGCGGAAGGGTCGGATCCGCACCCAAGACACTACTGATTCTTTCAACGATCCACCACCACATAGTAAATACTTGGATCAAATATGATAATTACGTCTAATTTTTTATATTTATTATATCAAGTTTTTCAGTTATATAATTGCATATTTTATTTTTAAAGTATTATCATTTAATTATAATCCCATAAAATAAAAAAGAATGTGACCATGTGTCATAGGATAACTTGATATAATGAATGTAGAGAATTTGATATAAGTATTTTTCACTTGCAAATTAAAATTAATTCACTGTAATTCAACTGTAATGCGTAGCAATTTCTCCCATGAGTTGGCAGCACCGGCGCTAGAGTTTCAGAAACAAGTTTGGGTTTTGGAAAAAAACAGAGAAGGAAATAAGTTTAGACTTCCCGCGTAGGATCTCACATGCAAACAAAATATCCAGTGAGATCAGAACTTGCCCTTAAAAACTTGAATGGATAGTGAATATCTTTGTTTTGCCAAAAACCAAAAAGGGATAGTGAATATCTGTGAAACAGAAATTTTAAGATAATCAGAAACTTAAGCGTCATTTTCTCTGCTCATGTTTTTCTTAATTATTGTGGCTTCAGCTTATCTGAAAGCGGAGTGACTCGAGGTGCCCTTTTGGGCCACCTCGACCCCCAATTTGTGGTTTACGTATCAGCCCGGTGGGCCCCCATTCCCGAACCTTCACGCCATTTAGTTAAGAGAAAAAAGAGAGCAGAAATTGAAAACTTCTTGAATTAGCATTTAGCAGCATAAAATTGTCAATTTGAATGAAACAAGCTGGACGCAAATGCGTCAACTATGATTATTTTAGTTTATTTGTTTATTTTTTGTGGACTTGTTTATCTGATTTTTGATGTCAGAATCAGATCCACCTCTTTCATGTGGACGCCATTTAACGCCTGCATTCCCCCCCCCCCCCCAATCAGCAGAAGCTGGACTTCTCTGTTGCCGACTTCACCGAATCAACTTATACCCCCCCCCCATGACCCCTACGTGGACGATTCAAAATTCATGGACAGGTTGTTAGCGTCGTATTTGTCCACGTCAGAACGTGCTATCACTTTTTGCGACACACCGAATCACAAGACGAGTCGCCTAGACACGAACCCATATAAACGAGCTGTTCTGGAACAGCTAACTTGGAAGAACGCTGTGGTCAGGCAAATACTTAGCTTCCTCCCACCTCAGCTGCTCGGCCATGGCTTCCGTCCACAGCACCATAGCTCCTCAGAGCTTCGTGCCTCTTTCCAAAGCAAAATGCAAATCCAAAGCTCAAGCAAGACCAATGCCCGCGCCGAATTTTCTGGGCTCAAAGATTTCCCAGAATTCAGTTTTCTCGCGAAACATACCGTCACGAAACTGGGTCGCCGTCAACTCGACGTTGGAGGAGTTGGACGTGATTCCCGTACAAAGTAGCGATACTACGGACCAGCAAGAAGGCATGGCGGTGGCGAGTCGGATCGAAATGGAAGGGGGAGAGGGGGACTTGGCTACTCAGGTGAGTGGTTTTGGAGCCAATGAGGGGGTTTATTCGTTCGAAGGAGCGGGTGAATTTCAGGGTTTTTCTTCTGCTTCGGCTTCGAGTGGGGATGAAAGCCGGAGGGCGAGCGAGGAGGAGATGGAGAGGCTAATAGATAGGACCATCAATGCCGCTATTGTGCTTGCGGCGGGTACTTTTGCCATCACCAAGCTTCTCACCATTGATAGAGATTACTGGCACGTAAGTCGACTGCTCTAATTTTTATTTTTTATTTTTATTCCCCTCCAATTATCTTGCATGGGAAATGTGCTTGGGATTTGTGGACGACCGATTTGGTGTTCTGTGGTGCCTTAGTTGCATTTGAATTAGAATTTGTAATTTATATGATTTATGCTGAGGAAATGCGTTGAAATTTACCCACTTTTGGGCGAGCTGCACGGCTTTTATTACTGTCAACTGGACAAGCATTCTGTACCTGAACTTTTGGCGTCATACATTGGGTATCATTTGAATGCAAAATTGAGTGTTTGGGTCCCTCCATTCCCTTACTATGAATTTGAAGTTTTGAAATCATCGAAGTCCCCCCCCCCTTTCCCCTCCCTCTTCAATTCTTTTACAACTCGTTTCAGCTTCACATATTTCGTGTTAGGGATGGTTTTTGAGATTTTCATTCTTTAATAGGACTTATGTTATTGGTTACCATTTCAGGGATGGACGCTTTATGAGATACTAAGATATGCACCGCAACACAACTGGTCCGCTTATGAGGAAGCTCTCAAGACGAATCCAGTTTTTGCCAAAATGGTCATCAGTGGAGTTGTATACTCTATAGGGGACTGGATTGCACAGGTGAGTTTGTATGGTTCAGGTGCAAGTATAACAAAAACATAATTTGTTCAAAGGCAAAAGCCAGCCTTTTAAGTGACTATGCATCATGGCTTTCCCTTGTAATTACAGTGCTTTGACGGAAAACCTCTTTTTGAATTTGATCGTGCACGAATGTTCAGATCGGGTCTTGTTGGTTTTACTCTACATGGCTCTCTCTCTCATTACTATTATCAGTTTTGTGAGGTAATTAATTGTTTCTTTCTCTAGCCTTGCTTGCTCCTTGAAATTAGTAATCTGGTTACATACTAACTTTCTCATTAACCAGGAGCTATTTCCATTCCAAGACTGGTGGGTAGTTCCCGCCAAAGTTGCCTTCGACCAAACTGCATGGGCAGCTGTTTGGAACAGCATTTATTATGCAGCTGTTGGATTTCTGCGCCTTGAATCCCCTGTCAATGTTTTTAATGAATTGAAGGCAACATTTATTCCTATGTTGACTGTAAGAACTATAAGCCTTTTCCTATTTCTTCTTTATTTTCTTCCTTCTGTTAAAGGCCATATTTGGGAGATTATTGGTTTCTTTGTTCACTGAGTTCTTCCATCAGCGAGAGAATTGAGGACAATGCACAATTTATGACGATGTATTTGACTTAAGCTCATGGCTTTCTAAGTTTATAGCTCTCTCGTTTTATTGTGCTTAATTTGTAATGACATGTCCTTTAAATTTGTTGCCCCTCATGTTTTCTTGGATCTCCTTGCTTTACACAGGCAGGGTGGAAGCTTTGGCCGTTTGCCCATCTCATTACTTATGGTGTGATCCCAGTGGAGCAAAGACTTCTTTGGGTGGATTGTGTGGAGCTTATATGGGTGACAATACTTTCAACGTATGTGTTGATGTGGATTAATTTTGGACACTGAACATTAGAATTTCAACACTTGTCAATTCGCCATAGGGTTACTGCATTTACGTGTTATGCTTACAGGGGTTAATTAGATGGACTTTGTTATTTCGTAAGGTCTTTTCCTTTTTGTAGTATTTTTCCTTCATAAAGAATGACTGAATTGGCAGAACTGGAGCTTGGATGAATAATCTGTGCTAGCTGGCCGCTGCCCGTTATTCCAGCAACAATATGCATGAAATTGATTCTGTTCTTGTATTACAAAAAATTGCTTTACATGGATTGTAGGGGTTCTGTAACTCATGTTTTTGTTCCTCCTCTCTAATTCTGGAGGCAGAGAACTATTTTTCTTTTGTATCTGTGTTGTGATTCTTGTGTCTACGTTGACTCCATATGAAGTCCTGCCACGTAGTTTCGTGGAGGCTGATTAATTTAACAATATATACTAAATTAGAAGATAATTCCAGCTTTTCCTACGTTGTTTATGAGGCTATTGTGCATGGTTCTGTTCTGACATTATTGATCTTTCTTCTTTATAGGTACTCAAATGAAAAATCAGAAGCAAGACACTCAGAATTACCTGCAGAAGTAAAAGCCACTGCATCATCCGCGAATTCTTCAGAGGTATAAGATAACTATTGAAGTTACTGATATTGAATATGAATGCAAAAAAAAAAAAAAAAAATCTAGTTACTTCTGGATTGCTGAATATCATCCTTGCTTATTTTTATCAGGAGTAACCCAAAGAGAAATGAGTCGAGGCAGGAATAGGGGAGGATAGGTTCAGCTCAATTAGATACTGAAAGTAGAGAAGCCTGCAAGATGCTGGATCTTGACGTGAACAAGGGTGTGTAAAGCAGAACGATGGAAAAGCCGATAATGTATGTGTATATATTGCATATTTGGAAACACTTGAATGTCGCGCGACATCGATTTCCCTGGAAAGCATTACAAAGTGTAATTCTTGATATTATACATTGTAATTATTGACTACTTTAATAAATATATATTAATTTGTAGGTGAAATCTTGTGACTGAAACCTAGTGCAGGAAATAACAATTGGTGCCGATGCGTGACTCTTGCATTAGCAAGTATTTACAGTAGAATAGAAATATGGCTTTTTAGCTTCTTTTTTCTTTTTTGGGTCATACACGACCTTCTCCAACCAGAGAGATGGGTAGATGGATTGGAGATGTACTGATGACAGTTTTAAACTGTAAATAGCTGAAAGAGAGAGTTTGCTTTGCAGAATTTCATCAATCCTTTGTAGATGGAATGTAAATTCCATTTTCCTGTTCAGTTGCATCTGTCTCCTCCGTAGAATATGCCGTAGCAAAGAATCTACAAAACCGTTCCAGTTTCCAAGATTCCTTAGCCTACTAGGTAAGCGATTGCCAACAAACTGGAATGTCCCAATCGAGAGTCTCAAGTCCCTAATCAAAGAATGCTGAATAGTAAATACATTATAATATTTTAAATAAATGTAATTATTTTAAATGTGAAAAAATATATTTTTTATACGTAAATGTGAAAATATATATTATTTCTAAACAATTGAATGTTCTTTGAAATTTAAAAAAATTAATTTAATTATTAAAATTTTAAATGAACATAATTAGTAAGCTAAGATTCTCATATTTTTTAATTAACTAATAGTTGGAAAATAATAAAGGGTTTATATTTAGAACCGAGAGTAATTAATTTTTTATATAGAGTTTATAAGATTGTGTACTTAGCAAAAATCAAATCAGAATGATTTGAAGATTTTGATTTAAAAAGAGATTATAATGGAAGAGACGGATTAACGTACGTCGGTGTTAACAAAATCATCATCTTAAATAATTAGCCGATTCGTATTTTACCTCATGAAGATGAAGATGTTGCGGCTAAAGGCTTTTGCGGCGACCGTCGTGGTTTTGGGTTTTCTTTTGTGTTGCGATGGAGGTATTACCAGTAAGTTTGTCAGAAAGGAGGGGGCTCCTCTTGACATGCCCTTCGATAGCGATGTGTTCAGAACGCCTTCTGGTTATAATGCTCCTCAACAAGTATCCAAATCTCTTCATTACTTTCTCCTTTGCTTCAAAATTTTCAATTTTTACAAGAAGAAACCAATGATGTCTCTTGTGTGTGTGTGTGTAGGTTCATATAACACAAGGTGACCAAGTAGGGAAGGCCATAATAGTTTCGTGGGTAACGGTGGACGAACCAGGGTCGAGCAATGTCCGTTACTGGATCGATGGTTCTTCCCATAAGAAATTGGCCAAGGGAAGACTCAACACGTATCGCTATTATAATTACACTTCTGGTTTTATTCATCACTGCACCGTCAGAGGTTTGGAGGCATGTCAGACTTGAGCCTGAAGTTCATTACCGGTCTTTTCTTCTGGGAGATGAACAAGAATTAGAATTTTGATTAATGTGGTTTCTTTTTTTGTGCAGTTTGACACTAAGTATCACTATGAGATTGGGATAGATCACACTATTCGCCAATTCTGGTTTACCACTCCTCCTGCTCCTGGCCCTGATGTGCCTTACACGTTCGGTCTCATGGGTAACTTTGTTTTCTATCAAAACTAACCTTTGCTTTGCCATATATTTTGTGAAATTTTGTATGAGACCTAACACATTACAATAATGGGGGTTTGTTTGCAGGTGACCTGGGTCAGACATATGATTCAAACAAGACTCTTGGCCACTACGAGAACAACCCTATCAAAGGACAGACTGTACTGTTCATGGGAGACCTGTCTTATGCAGATGACTGGCCAGATCATGATAACAGAAGGTGGGATTCATGGGGAAGGTTCGTGGAAAGGAGTGCTGCTTATCAGCCTTGGATTTGGACTGCAGGCAACCATGAACTTGACTTTGCCCCTGAATTGGTATGCTTCTCTCTCATTTATATATGTTCGTTCGTTCATTTGTTAATTCATTGAGTTCTTCAAAAGAGAGAATGTGTTATATGCTCTGTTTATTTAGTGTTGGTGATATGTAATTTCAGGGTGAAACCAAACTTTTCAAGCCTTTTCATCACCGATATCATACCCCTTACAGAGCAGCACAAAGTACTTCACCCTACTGGTACTCCATCAAGAGAGCTTCTGCGCACATCATAGTCTTGTCCTCGTACTCAGCATATGGTAATACCCCTCAGTTTTATGGTTTAAGTAACCTTATATAGTACTCTATTCCTCTTCATCACTAAGATAGAATCTCTGTCAAACCTTCTAGGCAAGTATACCCCTCAATACGAATGGCTTCAGAACGAACTAACGAAGGTGAACAGAAGCTTAACACCTTGGTTGATCGTTCTGGTGCATTCTCCTCTGTACAACAGCTACAATTACCATTACATGGAAGGAGAGTCCATGAGAGTCATGTTTGAACCCTGGTTTGTTGAGCACAAGGTAGATGTCGTCTTTGCCGGTCATGTCCATGCCTATGAACGATCTGTAAGTCTTACTGTTCCTAGATATGAACACACAATCTATCTGATATGAGATTCTAGATTTTTAGTTATGACTGAATTGTTGTTGTACTAGGAGCGAGTGTCCAACATTGCATATAATATAGTGAATGGACGTTGTGAGCCAGAGAAGGATCTGTCAGCTCCTGTGTACATAACAATCGGAGATGGAGGGAACATTGAAGGGATAGCCAACAAGTAAGCTTTGTAATACTCATATGATATTATTTATGTAGCTTCCAACATGTTTCACATGAATTAAAGATACGTTTGCTTATTTTTTGATTATTTAAACGAGTGTTTGACAAATTGTGGGTGTTATGTTTTGTGTGGGGCAGCATGACAGAGCCACAACCAAAGTACTCAGCATTCAGGGAGGCTAGTTTTGGGCATGCCACTTTTGAGATAAAGAACAGAACACATGCTTACTATAGCTGGCACAGAAACCAGGATCAGTACTCTGTAGTGGCCGATTCCATGTGGTTCTTCAACAGATACTGGCATCCATTGGACGATTCTAATACTACTCCCCATTAGTTTTTGAGAGTGTTTGACAAATTGTGGGTTTTATGTTTTGTGTGGGGCAGCATGACAGAGCCACAACCAAAGTACTCAGCATTCAGGGAGGCTAGTTTTGGGCATGCCACTTTTGAGATAAAGAACAGAACACTGCTTACTATAGCTGGCACAGAAACCAGGATCAGTACTCTGTAGTGGCCGATTCCATGTGGTTCTTCAACAGATACTGGCATCCATTGGACGATTCTACTACTACTCCCCATTAGTTTTTTTTTTAATATACATATATAATAATTTGGAAGTTTGGAACAGCTCGGCTTAGCTAGTTTTGGATTTCACCGTAGTTTAGTTATTACTTGATTGTGATTTTAATTTGCAAGAGTTTTGAGTGGTTTTGGGTGCCATCGTTGTTAGAGATACAGTGATAAAATATCATCAACTCACGCCTCTTTAGGCTGTATTTAATCTTCAACAACATCAATCAATAAATATCGCAAGTGCATGATTAATTTTGAATTCAGATCTGAGTTTGTCGGAGAGATTTTTGTCAAAATGCTTCTCCGATCTGAATATAAGACTCATTTTGTAATATAAATTATACTACAAAAAGGGTTTTATATTTGAGAATAGAGAAGTAATATGTATTGTGCAAACAACTCAGGAAAACAAATGTTAACTTGGTAAACTACGTATTAACTATTAATGACACAATAGAAACTATACTAACTTAATGTGCGATTAAATATTGTAATTTTGTATTGATCAATTCGATTTAAAATCGGCAATCAAATACAGCCGACTAAAGTTAAGTTGCGATAACTTATAATCATCAATGATATTGGCAAAAAATGATAGTATGAAGTATTACTGTATTATATTGATTGCTGATTGCGGAATTTTTATATTAATCAGTGAGCCGGTAATATAATTACTAATTGATAAATGTAATAAATTTAATTGATATGAGATACCGAGAGGGTCGGATTTGGACTTCTGAAGGTATGGACAAAACCAGCTATAAATACGGATGCCAGCAGCGCCAGAAGAACAAGTGAAGGTGGGATGGGACTTGAAAAGGAAGGAGTAAAGGCAGATATTTATATGAGCAAGCAGGAGGCGTTAGGGCTGTCGTCAGCAGCGGACGACCCCGGTAGCGGCCGGAATAATTCCCGTCTTGAGCCTTCGCCTTTTCCAGTTCCTTGGCACAACTGTACATGGAAGCAGAATCCATGAGACTCATGTTCCACCAGTCCGACGTCAACAATGGTGGCATCTCTTGCCTTCTGCTAACTTTCCCACCCATTGGTTGGTTTCCTGATCACATCTATGTTGATTCCAAATGAACAATTAATAGGATATCATCATCTTGAAGTTCCCTCCTTGTGCACATACAATTAACAGCTTGTGGAACTTTTTACCAAAAACATCTTCGTCTACAATCTCCTATTGATTTTTGTTTCTTTTTTGGGTTTTTGAGCCCTGATAGCTGTAGAATCAGCATCGCTTAAAATACCCATAAGCGTCTAAAACAATAGCAGTTCATGTAATGAGAAGAACTGGGGGGGGGGGTGAGCTCGTAGCGTACTGAATCAAAAGATATCTTCTTTTTTCTGCTACGAAGACAATACTAATCGCTGTGTGCAAGTAACCACCAGATGAAGAGGAGAATGAGAAATAAGAGTTTTGAGAGGTGATGATACTTGGGGCGTTATTCAATTCAGTTTTTGTCGTAGATGCATTGGCTGATGCAAAACAGATTCACTTAACCAGACATCACCATACTGACTTGACGAACTGAAACTTGAAGGGGGGGGGGGGAATCCTTTTCTTTTGATTTTCTCCCCTTGCTACAAAACTGAAAATCGCATAAAAGGTCGTTCTCTAGTGCCAATTCTTATATTCACTTACAGGGCATCTGATATCTTTTCACATAGTGAATGGAAGTGCTCAGCTCGTGCTTAGATCAACATTTTTCACACACAAGGCAATCTGCTAAAACTGTCTGAAACACAGTATATTGGGGGGAAAGTACACAAATCATCTTGTTCAGTACTCGGACGTAGAGGCTACCTGTAAACTGCCCACCTCTTTTTCTTTCCTTCGCCAAACCGTTATGTTGCTGAACTCTATCAATGGTTATTTACTCAGTTTGTCAAGAATATCTTAAGCAGAGGAACTGATGCCATCCCTTTTCTTTTAATTTCTGTTCAGACATGTTTTATGGTGGAATCAAGAGCTGAACGACTAGAATCATGAGTTACAATCAGCACAGTTGCTACACATTCTCAATGATACATCCCCTCAGACTAAATTGCTCAACATGAAATGCTTATACAAAATTCTTGCCCAAGATACTTGTGAGTTGGGAAACAAATCCAGATCAATTCCTCATATAACAGAGAATTATGATTAAGAAAGATGAAGTGGAACCTGGGTCATATAACAGAGAATTATCACTAAGAAAGATGAAGTGGAACCTGGGTTTCTCTCTGTTTCAAATACAAATTGCTATATCCAATTTCGCCCCACTCAGATGGCTAATACAATCAGAACTCGGCACGTTTAAACACCAATTGTGTCGATCATATAAAAGACTACCCAGGGCTAAGTGCTCTTATGAATCAAGCGAATCGCAAGTTTTTTTTATACCGAAAACCCCAGCAAAAGAACAGGGGCGAGAAGGGGAAAAGATATACAAATAGCTCAATTTAGCTATTAGCAAACAGACTGCAGATCTGAAACTCGGGGAATAGTACCACAAGAATAAGAAACTCCCAATTTCAAAATTCTAACTTTCATAAGAGAGAAGGGTAAGAAAGAATAGAGAGCCGTCTAATTAATTTCAGTGAATACTCAAACTCAAATTGTACATAAATCCACGACTAATTTCACTGCATATAGAAATTTGTTATGGAAAAGAAAAACAAAAAAGAAGGTTAAGCCATGGACATCTGAGAGAGTCTGCTCGGAGTTGGCCGGAAATTCAACGACCTGAAGGCGAACCGCCGCGGGGGCGGCGTCAGAGCCCTCCTCAAGATCTCTTTGCTGGCTGGACGCTTCTTCATCCTCTCCCCCGGCGGCACTAGATATCCGTGACGCGCACACCGAGCCGAACCCGGTCGGTTTGAGCATGTGCAGGCCGGGCGCGTCCTCGGAGACATGGGCAAACCCCCATTTTTTGGACCAAAGCTGATACTTTGCTCTATCCTATCTACGCTGATCGACAACTTCATCTCAATCTGCGAGCTTTCTTGTCTCTGAATCTGAAGGGTACTCTGCATTTCAGAACGAGGAAGAAGCTCTGATTTTGAAAGCAGAAAAACTTGTAGACTTATATGGCAGGAAGAGGAGTGGAGAACCAGAGAAGACCAAATTGAGAGAGGACTCGGCAAACGACAGTGGAAATGTGGAGGAGCCAAAATGTTTGACCACTATTTATTAAGGGGCTCTCTGAACTTACTCGTTGTTTGGGATTTGAACGTTGATGAAAGATGATGAGGATGATGCGATTGGAATATACGAGGGGGCTCGCTCTCTTTCCTTCTTTGTCACGTTTAGCAGCTGGAAGCAGTCAGAGCGTGAGACAGTGTGGGAGAGACAATAAAGAAGAAAACGTTCACAAAATGCTTTATTCACTGGCAATGGGCCCCCAAGGGCTGGTTGACATGTCACTGATGCAGGCCACATGATGGAAATATATATATAAATCTCAGAAGAATAGTACTCCGTACTATAATGGCGGAGAAGAAGGAGTGAATCATTGATGACGCTCCACGTATCCCTAGAAGGAGAAGTAGGAATTAAGGAGGATCAATTTCAGCTCACAGAATGTGTACTACAGCAAAATCCCATCACAAAATGCTGAGTTGGCTCTTCCAAACCTGTCTTGGACCAAACCAGCCCATTGACACCTGCCAACGTAATTCTCGATTTTGTTTTGGGAAAGTTACTTTCACATCCCAAAAAAAAAAAAAAATTTACAAATAAAGATAGAGGCTTTAGAATTTCTTTTGTAGTTTGATTTTTTATAAAGGGCTTGAGAGAGTAATTTGTCTTTATTGTTCTCTTTTGGGGTCAAGCACACCCTGGCTGCATCTCCTATTTCCTGTACCCACCATTTTTTTCAGAGAAACCCTGTACTGTACATGCATTGATCTTTGAGATGCACACTAGGGTCCGCAATTTTTGCCAATAATTGGATCCATAATACAAGCTTTATGACTGTCACACATTAATTTAATTTAATTTTTTTGGGGCGTGGGGTTTAATTAGTGCTGGTTTTTTCTCTTTCTTCACGACGATGTGTTGCCATTGCCGAGGAAGGGCCCTGATGAGCAATAGAGGGTATATGCAAGTGTAGCTTTATATCATTATGGGTGGTGGGTCTCTGCCAAATTTGACGTCATGCAAATTGCTAATGAAAAACGACCCCTTTTTTTGGTTTTGCACGTAGCTATCAGCCTTTCAAAGATTGGTCTATATATATGTGTGTGTATTTATATGTCTTTTGCATGAATATTGGCTGGCTGGATGCAACCTAGCTAGTCTTTGTGCTGATTAGGTTTCATCAAGAAAAAGAAAACCCCAGTTGATGCCCACTCTATCATCAACTTTTTGCTACAAGTCAACTACTTTGTATACCTATATATATCCAGATCAAAACTATTCCCCCACCTCGACCCCCAAAAAAAAAAAAATTGATTCTGTTTTGTTTTTTGGACATCAGATATGACCCCAAGATGGGATTAGAATTGACCTGAACAACAGGGAATGATATAGAAGTAAAACCAGCATATATATGATATGTGTATGCATACACATGCATAACGCACATATTATATATATATATATGTGTAATGTTCAGTTCTAGTCAGTTTCTTGTGATGTGGACTCGGAATTTTTCTTTTCAATTTGTGATTCTTTAATTGTTGGGGGAAGAACCCACACTCACTTTATCATGTTGGGAGAGTAAATGAGCTGAAATATAGACAAAGCATCCAGTAAAAAAAGGAATCACAAGTGATGTTATTTAAGCATTTTTATTATCATATCCTTTTGATAAAGAAGTTGCATTCAGAATAATAATTTTCTAAAAAAAAATGACATCGCTTTATTTGCAAAAGCCATTTCCCGACTACTTCATAAAACTCTGCCCATTAAACTAGTAAAAAATGCATTCCCTTGTATGCTTTAATGTCATCGATGAAAAATGTTTAAATTTAGATGATTTGTTGGGGAAGGGCCTCAAAAATTTTCTGGACAATATACTAACAGTAACGCAAATGCATGTAGGTTATGTGATTCATATTATTGATAAAGTCGTTTTTAATTTTAGAGATGAGGTGAAAGCATCAGTCACGTACAACTCAAGGATATGTAATAATACATATAGTTGAATCCTGGGTTATGATATGTATTCCAAAAATAATCACAAAAAGATGCCAATTTTTTTAAAGTTGATTGGTATTGTTGACCGATATGGAATGCAATTAATTAAAGGGCATTTAATTTTTGTGGTGTTTTAGGATAATGATGATTCCTTAAGATGATAGGATGAGAAGAAATGGCCCCTTATAAAAATAAGTAGCTGCTCGTGAGGTAGACTTCGTTGTCTACTTGTGTGACCTCATGGGTCTTGGAATATCCTTAAACTATGTCTTATCACTCGCTCCCACGAAAAGAAAATGACACACCCATCCTCAAATATCTTTGCCTTCTCTATTTTCAGATTAATCCTAGTTTCTTTCTGGATTACTAAGGTGCACAGTAATAATATATTCAACTTTCTATCTAGTTTTCTAGATTTCTCCTTTCATAATCTCTTGTTACAGTACTGATTATTATATTATATATCTGCAAATTTGCATTGATCACCACGTTTGAATATATATGCCGTTCAAGCAAGAGATGATGTATCCAAAACCATCTCTTTATGATTGGTTCCTCGTTAGTTTTTCAAACCTAAAGCTTAATTATTATATTTCCATATCCTTAGATCTCATAAGCGAACTCCCTGTATGTTCTTTCTTCTTGATTATTTTTCAATGTTAATCTCTTACGTCATTTTAGGATTTGAATAAAGAAATTAAATTTTCGTGTGATGTGATTATTTTTTGAGTTTAATTTTCTCTGGTGCCAAAGGATTTATGTATAATTTATATTATCCTCAATATAAGTGTCAATCATGCACCTTTTGAAGTTGATAATAAATTATGAGTAATTGCTTATATATCATCCTTTTCGGCTTGCTAATAAACCAACAGAAAACTGACAACAACTTTTATTTTCTCTTTCATCTTTTGGAACTAACGAAGTGGTAAGAATTCATTTGATGTTTTCTAATGAAGTGTCATCTAAAAGTTTCCTGTGCTCATGTCAAATTGATGGGGTTGAGGATAGGTGTCAAACTTTCAGCCCGTAATATATGTAAGTTTATTATAGATTCTTGGTAATGAAAACGAATTCTTAATTGTATATGTTATATATGTATGATCACAGTGACATATCAAATGCTGTGCAAGCCAATTAAAGATGTTTTTTCAGAACGGAATAAGCAAGGAAAACCCCAAAAAAAAAAAAAAGCACAGCATATACACACACATTAACGCGCACACAACTAGTTCCTCCTAATTAATCACCTAGAATCAATAGCATATCACAACAAGAAGACAGAAGCCTCTTAGGTATGCACGAATTTCATTTCAATAGCAATAACATCGAGATGTAATATCCTTTTCTGTAGTTTTAAAAATTGTTATTATATATCGAGATGTAACTCACAAGTAAAACTTGATAATTAATTCCCTTTAAGATAACATGTACCGCACGAATTTGCATGAATAGTTATAACCCCGCACTTATCAAAATAAGGGCTGCTCACAGAAGGATATAAATATGAATAAAGTTTGGAGAAGCCTTTTCCAGAGGAAAGTGGCGAAAATTATTTGACAACAGACAGATTAATATTGCATACCATATGTATGTATGTTTGTATGTAACATATATATATGCATATGCATGCATGTTCAAGGGTTGTAGCTGATTTTGATCCTCAAGAAATGATTCCGGATAAAGGGATAACGATATGAATAAGACTAATAACCTTCTGACTAGCTTGACGCGTCGACTGAAAGCATGAATCTTCCATGGTTATATAGGCCTAAGCATGCTTACTAACATCCTTTCCCTGTTGTTTTAGCTTTATTAATCTTCATGAACAGGATCAGATTAATAATATACAGCTAGATGAAAACCAATGAAAAATCAGTGTCATGAAGAAAAACAGTAATCACCATTAAATTGCTAGTGTTCTTCTCATCCACCGCGCCAGTATTCTACAGTATATATACAGGGATGTATAATATTGTTATATATATGATCCTGAAGCTAGCAACGATATGTGTATATATAACTTTCTGGTCTGTTGAAAGCTGAAACCCTGACTTCCTTTACACATGAATAAAACAAGCAAATATCCATATATAACGTATAAAGGCTTTATCTAAGTTTTCCTACAAATATCCATGGCCTCACCGTATGTGTCACTCCCTTCGGCTAGAGTATAGCAAGCTATGACCCCCACCAATGGTTGCAAACAGTCCATTTTGAGGCCATATATATCTGCTTGCTTAGCCTTCTAACCTGCTTCCAATAATTCCGAAGATCCAATATCTCACGATAATTAATACACAAACCATTCATGTTCTTTTAGTCTGATCTCCTTCTCGCACCCTTCATCCATCAATAACACATCGTTCATAATTACCGGAGGTGATGAACTAACTGCAGATTAAGAAGCGATAAGCCTATTCAAGCGTACCAATTCATCCCAGGTATAGAATATGGGTATGAGCTAAGCATTGGCTGGTGGTGCAATGAAGGAGTCTGAGGAATCTGGTTAAGCAAGGTGGCTATGGAATTACCACCACCCTCGTTGTTGTTGTTGTTGTTATGATGATGATGATGATGATCTTCATCCAAACCCAACCTTTTAGTGCCATTCACGTCCTCCTCTTCACTGTTATTGCTCCAATACATCGACGAAAGTGTTCGTTTCGTGTTTGAATTAGAGGCAGTCGAAGCAGTCATGGTTGGCACAAAGGGAAGTTGAAGATCTGATTCCTTATTGTTGTTGCTGCTCGATATGACTCCTTCCAGCAAGTTCTGATCATGATGATGATTCTCCAGTAGTGCCGTTCCACCATAGCTTAACGTGGACATCTTGGAAAGGTGAAACCTCGCATTCATTTGGCCCACGTTGATCGAAGGAGGCACCCCTCCAATCCCAATCATATCATCCATCGAATCGTCCCTTTCATGATCCATAGGTGATCTCTGCGTGTTGGTCTTCTTGTAGATTCGGCACAGCACCCAGTCGTCCAGCTATATATATATATAAAGTGCACCCATAAAAAATTTAACCATATGACCATATATATATATATATATAGGAAACTAAATTCAAAACCAACTCTAAATTAAAGCAGAACATAAACTATAGCGCTTATTAAAGATATTGCAATCGATCGGACACAATTATAAGGATGCCGAGTTCGAATAGTATAAGAAGTAGTAGAAACTGAAAATAGTTTAGAGAGGCTAATTACCCGGAGAGAGTTTTTCTTGTTGCCTAAGTCACAACCAGGAGGCTTATTGTTAGGCTTATTATCGACGAGGCGGTACTCGTGCATGATCCAATTGGTTTTGATGCCTCTTGGGGGTTTCCCACCGTAAAAGACCAAAGCTTTCTTGACCCCCACCTTTTGGTTTCCATTGGATGTGAGCACGGGCTTATCCGTCCCCGTCGCCTTCCAATACCCAGATGTCGCTGCCCTGTTTGGCCTCGCTCCGTTCGGGTACTTCCTGTCCCTCGGGCTGAAGAAGTACCACTCTTGCTCCCCAAATGCTGCCTTAGCTGTACAAAAAGTAAAAGCCACCAAAAAATCATACCCGCGTCACTTCGGCCATATAAATCACCCAATAGTTTCATTTATATAAAAATATGGCGTGTTTAAATTATATTTAAAAATTAATAGCCTCGTCATGTCTAGGCGGTCTCTGTTTCGTAGAATTGGACGTACCGGGGAGTTCCCAGGGGTCGAACTTGTAGAGGTCGACCTCGGCGATGATGGCGACGGGGAGGGGAGCGGAGGCTGCCTTCTTCTTGAGGTAGTGAACGACGAGCTCCTCGTCGGTGGGGTGGAACCGGAATCCGGGCGGCAGGTTCGGTTGCTGGGAACCGGTGGATGAGTCGGTGCTCTCCATGCCAGCGCCAGCAAAAGCTTCAACTCTGAGCAGCTATGGATTAGGGTAATGGCTTGCAGGCAAAGACCGAAGAAGAAGAGCGTGGTAGGGAAATGTTACGAGTTTAACACTCACATGGATCATACCCCCCAAAGAAGAGGAGGAAGGCCGGCTTATATATGGAGGGGAGGACGAAGGAGGCCTGGGCGGCACGTGGCTGGAGAAGCCGCGCAGGTGATCCCATGCGGACATGCGCATCATAACTCTGCAGTGTAAGATGACGTGGCAGAGGAAGAGTGGGGGGAGACTAGGGGATGGAGAAAGAAGGGACGAAAAGAGTGGAGGGAGATTAGAGGAAAAGGGGGAGGCGGAGGCAGGGGATAAGGAGGGTGGGGGCGAGAAGAGCCGTTGCGAAGGCGACACGTCAAGACGGGGAAGGAAGGAGAGGAGGACACGTGGGTGGGGTCCACGAGGGGAGAGATGGAAACTATATTTTGAGGGGGTGGGTGTGGGGGGATGACAGTGAGTGAAAGGGGGGGGGGGGTTGGAGTGAATCAAAAAGGTAAATGGTGATGGATTTGGGGGAAGGGGGATAAGGCGTAGTGGGGACATGTATCATCACAATTGCTTTTAGATCAACGTGGGACATAATATTACTCCTCGCAAAGCACTTGGCATCAGGGTAAAAAGTAAAACACAGGAGGATTGCACATTACTAAAATCTGGTACCACTGGGGTGGGCCCCACCCCTCCCGTCCTGACCCCACCTTCGCCCCATGTCATCCCTCCATCATGCATCTCCTCTCATCCCCCACCCACGGCACCACCCCATGTCCTTCCCTGTACTCACAAGCCACAACACACTCCCTGCCTTTTTCGTGGTTTTTTTTTTTTTGGCCTTGGTCAACAATTTCTGACTACAGAATTTAACATTTAAAAAAAAATAAGGTTTCTTAATTTCTTTTGAAAAAATTAATCTCCAGTCAGTGTAGTTTCATGTCATTTTTACTTTGATTTTTATAATTTTTTTAAATCAGGTCCTTATGCTTTCATCTCATCTCCATCACCTACAACTATAATATCTAATCAGAAATTAAGTGAAACTAAGAATTCTGATAAAAAATTTCAGAAACCAAATTAAAAATCAAGTAAAATCATGTTCTTTCTTTTCTTTTCTGTTATATTCTGTGGATAGAATAAAACAACGAAATGGAGGAGTAAGGGTCAACCAAACATAGCATACATACCATATAATTAAATCTGTATAAGTGACGGCGATGCATGACTTATAATATTTAAAGACTCCTTTCTACATTTGACATTATTATTCAATACTTAATCCCCCCACAAGGGACTAGGCCACTCATCATCTAACTAATTATATATACTTTACTATTATTATGCAATTGATCAAGACATGCTAGGTAATCATCTTTTGATTATATGATCACTCTACGTATTCTAAGCAATAATTAATGGAAACCAACTTAATATGTGCACAACCACACACACACACAAAGTTAGCGCAAACTTGAGATGCTTCCGCATCACTATATTTTCGATTCAATTCACATGGTACATTTGTTTTAATTAAGCTTAACATGTGTGTGTATGGAAACCTTTTAGCTCTCACTAATTTTAATAAAATTCTATTTTAAGCAAATTTATTTGGTGAGATAAAAAATATGACACAATAATAAATCACAGCTTTAATAAAAATAGGATTAAAGTACAAATTTGTCTCGTAAGTTTTCACTCACGAACGTTGGGTATCCTGAAATTTTTTTAGGACAAATTTGCCTTGGAAGTTTAAATCATAGCAATATTGTCTTCTACAGCTAAACACGTTAGTGGTCAAAGTTGGTTTTTTTTTTTTTTTAAACTTCAGAGAGCAATATTGCTACTATTTTGAACTTTTGGTCTTTTGGGATAAATTTACTCCTAAAAAAATTTCTGAATACCCAACACTGGTAGATGTTAGGACAAATTTACACATTAACCCGTAAATATATTGATAGATTCTACCTAACCTAATCACACCAAGGTTGAAAAGTCGATCGCGAAGCATTTATTATTATTATTTTTTAAATTGAGAGTTTGAATTCACAACCGTGTGTTTGAAAATACCTTCAAAAAGATATTTTATTTTTATTTTGCAAGTAATTTGTGCCTTGCTTCCAAATATATATATTTTTATGTGCTAGAGTGGAAAATTAAGTATAATAATATCATTACACACACACACACACACACACATTCTCATGGTTCCCAGATGAAAATGAAGTTAGTTAACAGATGTGCATTCCCAATTTCTATACATACATACAAAATTTAGAAAACTGAGTCACATAGTTCATATATTAATATTACGACTTGTTATAAATTTTATACTCAACACTAATATAAGATCAAGTAATTGGAATAAAGTATTAAATTTCAGTATAACTATTTACTAAACACATGCAATTGGACGTTGTAGTGCTGCAAAGTATGAATCTAAATTCTCCTCTTTTGATTGACCTTTTAAACATAATGGAAAGCTTAGCCAAAGAAATTGAATTAGATACATTGGAGGCTTGCAATCTTGGATGCTAAAATTGCATTTTCTGGCGGAGGCTCTGACCCAAAAAATAGGGTGATGATGTACACAAGGCCACATGGAGAGGGACAAATGAAGACAGAGATGATGATTACAATGATGCAATCAGATAAAATAATGAAAGAAGGAAGCTAAAATGGGTGTGTGTGGGGTCTGAATGTTGGTTCTGGAACGGACCAGAGGGTCCCAATGGCTAATAGCTAGGAGCCATCTTCTGCGCTATACATATATATGTAGTCCATGACTTGACATTGTCACTAGGATATGTGTGTGTGTGTGTGTGGCAGGAGATAGAAACCCTAGATATTCCCCCCATTCTCCTCATCCACACACATCTCAACTCATTCCCATTTTTATGAGGCTGTATTGGAATCATGACTTATGTTGTATGAATCATAAACTCAGCTCACCCACCATCTGTTTGTCTATTTGTCCCATAGATATTATTCAAGTTCTAACAACGTTTTATACTTACATGGATGCCATATTTGACACATTTTAAAGACTGTTTTTATGATATTGATGCCCGTTAGATGAGAATCTATGCTTATATATGTACTGGTCTCATAATTATAATACTTCGATGTGATAGTAAATAACGTGGTTCATAAGATAACCATCTGCATGCTCCCTCCTTAATTTGCCCTTTTCTATTGCCTCTTTCGTAATTTTGCTTCTTATACTGTGCTCTTAAAGAAGAGATCCCAAGACCATGATTGTTTTCTGAGCTGAGAGGCCACTTTGCGCTCATAGATATTTTCATCTCTCAAGATTCTCCAAAATGTGCTAGCTAGATCACATTGTCTCTTTGTTTACCCTTATGAATTATGATCCTTTCTTGGCCGCATAAGTTTATATTCCTTGTGGATGCAAGAGTTACCGTCCTTGAGGAAAAGGCCCTTTTTGCGCCATCACCTTGTCCTCTCTGGATATGACAGTACTGATTAGATTCTTAACCATCCATTAAACCCAAGGCTTATAAATATCGTAATTAATAAAAAAAAGATCAGAATTGTATGCTGCTTAGACAATTTTAATATGTGTGGGTGTGTGTGTGTGTAAATTAAATGATTTTATATTGTTCTTTTATGAGGAGTGCAGGAGTGCAATTATATATAAGAATTTAGAATTTTTTAAGTGGAATGTATTTGATTATTTCTTTTTGTTTTTGAAGAAAAAGACAAGCTAGCGGCATATTTCTTTGTCAGGGTTTTATTTGTCCCCACTTATCTCTGTGTGAAGCACAAATGCAAAACTCCACCAACATATAGCTTGTGTTTGCTCGAATTTCCAACACACTTGTCGAAGCTGGCAAAAGTTGGAGCTTAACTATACTTTTATGTTGATTAATATGTTTTCCACTAGTAAGTGCTTTTCACTTATTTTATGTGGATACTTAGCTGCTGCGTTAGGGAGACACTTGTAGCCTTGTAGGTCACATTATATCTTGTTCAAAAAGCCAAATTTATCTCCTTGTTTGTTTGTTTATCTATTTATTTCCAGTAAAATTAAAGTCAATTTGTTCTCTTGCATATTGAAGAAAAGAATAGCTTCCGAGAAAATAATCACATTGTAGTTTTCCAGGCATAATTATAAAGGGTCGATAAAATGATAAAAGATTAGTGACCTTTGGCCCCTAATATCCATAGTGACCTATTACTATTAAATTTTCTTATTTAGGCAAATGGAATATTTTGCTGATAATGTGAGTAGGGGACTGCATTTGTTTGTGTATCAGTATTATCCTACATTTGTTGGAAGGGCAAGAACCTAGATATAGTTTCACAGGATACGCAAACCACTTAATATACTGTTTAATTTCAAAACCCATTTGTGTCCGAAATGATTTTGGCTAGTTGTCTTCCATGATGTCAAAGATTAATAACATTTACATGTAGAAAGGAAGAAGGTACATGAAATGATCACCAACAAGGAAGCACCATTAGTTCATGGAGAATTTGAAATTACACAGTGTGGTCATAATTGTTATGCTTACATGTAAAATGCAAAAGCATGATGCATCAGGGCGCCAGAAGTTGTATGGACTGGATAACAGATTATGGTATCAGTAAGTTTCCAACCCTTGTGGAAAACCTAACTCATACTTTATTTTGTTACATCAGGAAACAATAAATTGGCAATGTTATGCATGTGGCATGTAGACAAGGACTATATTTCTTCTTTTAAGCTGTTTCTTTTCTGTTTCTGCTAAGGGTTTGGCTTACCTAGCCCATGGATCAGCTGGTATAGCATGGAGTGGTGAACACATATAAAATGTAGTTATCTTTCCTGATAATGAGCAAGAAATTTTTGAGAATAGATATGGTAACCAAATTTGTGTCAGAATGTGGTATCCCCATCTGTCAAGGATTATTCATTAATATGGCTATACTAAACCCTCCAGGTACGTCTTGTAAGGTTT